ATATAACATTAACAAGGTTTGACGATGGATTGAATTAGCCATAACAACTAAACTAGCCTCTTGCTAACGGTTAGCGTCGCGATTAGCATTAGCATGGTTGGCACGATTTCCGTGACACAAAACAAACATCTCAAACGCCATCCTCCAGATCACAGTGCCACAAACAACCAAAACAATCATCTGTACTCACTGTTGGTTCCACTCCAAGACTCAGACAACCAACTCTCTGTGGTGGAGCACTTGCAGCTTCTGCATGAACACTGAAAGTGCCTGATCCTTAAAGGCGCAGTAACTCAAAATCACCAGCAGGGGGAACTTAACCTTTTCAGTCACTGACAGGAGTCAGAACAATAAATATAATACATATGACTATAAATGTAAATGCAGTTACTTTGAGGGTTAAAATGAGTTTTGACTTCACAAAGTAAAAATATAAGTTTAACAACAGTATTTTGGTGCATGTTTTTCATAGTTGCAGCTGTTGTTTGACTGTTTTTTTGTTTGCAGCTTTCTAATATTGAAAAATGTGATTGACAGTGAGGATGAGTTCCATGTTTGGTGTCATTTATGAAGTTGCAGAAAATACCATTTCTACAATTTCTCCACCAGCGCATGAAGAAACAACATCTGATGACCCTGAATCTTCTCGTGACCTCGTCGTGATGGTGGTTCGTCCGATGGTTCTGCTGCTGCTGCTGGTCGCATTTATTTACATCAGCAGACACATAGGTACCGAAAAATCACTTTTTTCCCTCCAAATATTATTTCAAAGTGTTGCATTCATACCAAGAACATCCATCCAAAGTGCTTGAAACAGTACTAAGTTGTCATGTTGAATATTCTGCATTGTTCCTGAAACTGCAAATTTTAAATCCGGTTGTTTGTTTGTTTGTTTTTTGTTGTCTCTGCTCATTTTCATGTTTTTTCTTTTTGCTTTTCTCTCCACCAGCTTCCTCAAAGACGTCAACAGCAGCATCAAACTCAGGCGAAGCAGCTTCAGCAGGTGAGAAAACTCAGATCTGAACGTGAAACTGCAGCTTTTATCAGAATGATGTCATTTAGGTGGAGACTCTTTGGAACCAAACCGACACAAATTGGTAATATTAAAAAGAGACGATTTATAAATTATCAGTTTTACTTTGAAGCCTCCAAACAGGAAGTCAGGACTGAGTGTTGTCTTCTCAGTTTTGAACATCATTTCAATGTTCTGTGTTCGTGTATGCTGTAAAAACAAACAAACAAATAAATAAAAAAACAAAAAGTTTTTAAATGTAAATTGACTGGGTTTTTTGTTTGTTTGTTTTTTACAGAATTCTCATGTTAGAGAAATTTGCAGATCATGATTGGTAAAATCACAGGAGAAAAAAAAGGAAAAAGTATAAGAAAACATAAAAAAAAAAAACATTTTAAAAAAGTATTTTTCTTTTACAACTGGAAAACTACACAGTCAAAAATGTTATTATTTTACGGAGATTTGCCAATTACAGAAATGATCTTTACTAAAAACAAACAAATATTCAGACTTGAATTTTTATCTTTTTTAAAGAAATTGTTTAGATTTACTGATAAATGCTAATAAACTTAAAAAATTATTAAGCAGCAGCGTTCAAAGTGGATTCATTCGTTTCTAGATGTATCTGACAGTATTCTGTCTGTTTCTCTGATAGTTTAAATGCAGATGATCGCAAATATTTTCGGCCTCTGGAGGTGAAGCTGAAGACGATGTGAACAGTTATACTTACACTGTGGTCTTTACAAAGAAGAGACCAGACAAAGGTTTATTTTTATTGTTGTTTTATATTTGAACGTATGACGAACACAAGCGAGGCCGACTTCTTAGAACTGTCATGTTAAAGGACCTGAAAGTGTCAGTTGAGGTTTTGTCACCACGGAAAGCTGCTGGATTTATTTTTGCCTCCGACGTTTTGTTTCACACGCTGCTGATGCAGGAGATCATCTGAGCGGCTGCCTCGAGTCAAACCACAGCAAAAAACCAGCAACAGAACATACGAGGGTAAAAAAAAAACAACTTTCAGTGTGTCTGCATCGGTATTTATATTTAACTCTGACGGTTTCTCACCTTCAGGTGCAGACAAGTCCTCGGTTTAACCCGTTTACTCCACTTTAAAATAGGCGCGACGTCCTGGTTCGTATCTAATCAGCTAAATGTGTTTCTACCATTTATCACAGTTCATGTGTTTCCTGAACTGATGCAGAACCACAAAGAGATGCTCAAAAATAAACTTTATAAACCTGCTGAGCTGTGAAAACATCCAATTTATATGACAAACAAGGTTCAAATACAGACTTGATCTGTCAGTTACTGTTCTACTTTTTTTTGGTATACTTCATAATATCAGTAAACGACTGTGAATTTACATGTCTAATGTAAAATAATATTAAAACCTGTAACCATGATTGTTTTAGAGAAACTGAAACTGAAAAGACTCTTACTGTAAACTTTAATAATAAAAATAAATAAATAAATGCTGAAAATAATGGGAAATATCTTTCAACTGATATAAAGAAAAACAGTGGCTCCTTTCGACATGGAGGAGCAGCGGCTCTACTCCGAGCTCCTCCTGCGTCACTGAGCTCCTCACCCTATCTCTAAGGGAGCGCCCAGCCACCATGTGGATGAAACTCATTTCGGCCGCTTGTATCCGCGACCGTGTTCTTTCAGTCATTACCCAGATCTCATGACCATAGGTGAGAATAGGGACGTAGATTGACCGGTAAATCGAGAGCTTTGCTGCCTTGCTCAGCTCTCTCTTCACCACGATGGTGCAGCAACAGCAACACTGCAGACGCTGCACCGATCCGTCTGTCAATCTCACGCTCCATCCGCCCCTTACTCGTGGACAAGACCCCGAGATACTTGAACTCCTCCACTTGAGGCAAGGACTCTCCACCGACCCGGAGAGGGCAAACCACCTTTTTCCAGTCGAGAACCATGGCCTCGGATTTGGAGGTGCTGATCCTCCACCTGCTTCCCTCACACTTGACTGCAAACCGCCCCAGTGCACGCTGAAGGTCCTGATTTGATGAAGCCAACATAACAACATCATCTGCAAACAGCAGAGATGAAATTCTGTGGTTCCCAAACAGAACCCCTTCCTCCCCCTGGCTGCGCCGAGAAATTCTGTCCATAAAAATAATGAACAGAACCGGTGAAAAAGGGCAGCCCTGGTGGAGGCCAACGTGCACTGGGAACAGGTATGACTTACTACCGGCAATGCGAACCATGCTCCAGCTGCGGTCGTAAAGGGAATGGACAGCCCTTAACAGTAGACCCCATACTCCCGAAGCACCCCCCACAGGACGCCACGAGGGACACGGTTGAACGCCTTCTCCAGATCCACAAAACACATGTGGACTGGTTGGGTGAACTCCCATGAGCCCTCGAGCACCCGATGGAGGGTATAGAGCTGGTCCAGTGTGCTGCGACTGGGACAAAAACCAGATTGGTTGGATCCTCCTCTCCAGTACCCTGGATTAGACCTTACCAGGGATGCTGAGGAATGTGATCCCTCTGTAGTTAGAACACACCCTTCGGTCCCCCTTCTTAAACACAGGGACCACCACTCCGGTCTGCCAATCCAGAGGCAATGTCCCCGACCGCCACACGATGTTGCAGAGACGTGTCAACCAGGAGAGTCCCACAACATCCAGAGACTAAAGGTACTCAGGACAGATCTCATCCACCCCCGGAGCTCTGCCACCGAGGACCTTTCTCACCACTTCGGTGACTTCAGCCCGGGTGATGGACGAGTCTCCCTCTGAGTCCACAGTCTTTGCTTCCTCTTCAGAAAACATGACGGCAGGATTGAGGAGACCCTCGAAGTATTCCTTCCACTGCCCGACGACCTCCTCAGTCGAGGTCAGGAGGTCCCCACCCGCACTGTAAACAGTGTTGGTGGAGAGCTGCTTTCCTCTCCTGAGACGCCGGACGGTTTGCCAGAATTTCTTCGAGGCCGACCAATAGTCCTCCTCCATGGCCTTCCTGAACTCTTCTCAGACCTGAGTTTTTGCCTCTGTGACCACATGAGCTGCCGCACGCTTGGCCTGCCGGGACCTGTCAGCTGTCTCAGAAGTCCCACAAGCCAAAAATGACAGGTACGACTCCTTCCTCAGCTTGACGGCATCTCTTACGTCCGGCTGCCACCACCGGGTTTGGGGATTGCCACTGCGACAGGCACCAGAGACCTTACGACCACATCTACGAGCAGCCACAGCGACAATGGAGGAGGAGAACATGGACCACTCGGCCTCCACGTCTCCAACTTCCCTCAGAATCTGGGTTCCGCCAGACATTCCCAACAGACCCTCACGATACGCTTAGGTCTGCCAGGTCTGACCAACTTCTTCCCCTGCCAGCGGATCCAACTCACCACCAGGTGGTGATCGGTGGACAGCTCTGTCCCTCTCTTTACCCAAGTGTCAGAGGACATGCAGCTGGAGGTCTGATGATACAACTTCAAAGTTGATCATCGACCTCCGGCCTAGGGAGTCCTGGTGCCACATGCACATGTGGACACCCTTGTGCTCGAACATGGTGTTCGTGATGGACAAACTGTGACTAGCACAGAAGTCCAACAACAGAACACCACTCAGGTTCAGATCGGGGAAGCCGTTCCTCCCGATCACCCCTCTCCAGGTCTCACTGTCGTTGTCCGCATGGGCATTGAAGTCCTCCAGTAGAAAAAAAGGAGTCCCCAGTCGGGGCACTATCTAGTACCCCTCCCAGGGACTCTAAGAAGGCTGGGTACTCTGCACTGCTGTTGGGCCCATAGGCCGAGAAAACAGTGAGAGACCTGTCCCCAACACAAAGGCGTAGGGAAGCGACTCTCTCGTTCACTGGGGTGAACTCCAACACGTGGCAGCTGAGCTGGGGGGCAATGAGCAAGCCCACTCCAGCCCGCCGCCTCTCACCGCGGGCAACGCCAGAGAAATGGAGCGTCCAGCCTCTCTCCAGAAGTTGGGTTCCAGAGCCCAGTTTGTGCGTGGAGGTGAGGCCGACTATATCTAGCTAATATCGCTCAACCTCCCGCACAAGCTCAGGCTCCTCCTCCCCCATCAAGGTGACGTTCCACGTCCCAACAACCAGAGGCTGTGTACGGGGACCAGGTCGCCAAGGCAGCCCCCCTCGACCGCCACCCAGTCCAATTCTGAGTATTAGGAGTTATTGGAGACTTTACATGAGCTTTACAGGTTCATCAAACTATGTTTCACGACTGTATCTGCTTGAAAAGCTCAGTCAGTGAACTTTAGGTCTGTCGTAATTCAGCTCTGATTTATTTTATTTTATTTCTGTCTTACAGAAATCAAGAGCAGAGAAACCTGACTGAAGGAAGGAGGCGAGACTGATTAAAGCCGAGCTGAACGAGAGAAGAAACAAACAAGCTTTGAGCTGAAATATTGTTTATTTTTGACAGTTTGTTTTCAACCATCATAGCGCTGTATAGATAATTAATGGATGGATGGATCCTCCCAACATGTTTAACATACAGGAACTAACAACCTGCTGAAAGAAACAACCATCACCACAAAATGTCAACTCATTTCTTTTCAAAGCATTTTTTAGTTTTGTAAAGAAAAACAATGATATAATGAAAATACCTGCTTTTCTTTAACACTCTGAACCCTGAAAACTCAAAAATAACACCAAAATTACTCTGTTTATCTGATCCAGAAACTCTAAAAACCTGAGTTTTCGCATTTTGAACCTTCTGACGAATCTTGAACTAATCATCTGTGACATACAGCTCCAAGCTCATGTAAATTGAACCTTAAAATTATGCTTTTCTTGTCAAAATTATGGATTCTACATGTCTTGTTTCAAAATTGACCAAAATAAAGAATATGTTTTTACAATATTCTGCAATATAATAGTCATAGTAAGCAGAGCCACCATGTTTTTTCCAATGTTGGAAACACACCTGGACACTTAATTGTAAAATAATATACAATAGTAATAATCAAGAAAATTTAACTTTCGTATCATGATTTAAGGCTTTATAAATTTTTAAGCTGCACTAAAAGACATTTCTGAGTCCTTCCTCCTTTGTCATCTTGTTCTGTTTCCATAGAGATGCAGGACTTTAGATTGTGGTGAAAAATGAGCAACATTGAGGACAAAACACCCAGAAACTGCTCAGAGTTCAGAGGGTTCATCAAATCCAGCTTTTATTTTTAAGTACAATCTGCTTTAGTGTGTAAAATCTGATTGACCGTCCTTTGATTCTGCTGTTTGTTTTTTAGTCATTTGTGTTGTATTCATGTGTCTCAAATGCCAAATCTAAACTTCACCTGCTTGCCATTGGGGTCCAAAACCGTGTCATAGAAATAAATTCTAGATTTATTGCAGACAAACCTCCTCAAGTCTGATGACTTCCATGTTCCTCCGTGTGCAGCCCCAGAAATATTTACATCCAGTGTCTATTTTTATGAGAGTGGAGCAGTTTGTTCTGTCTGCAGCTTTATCAACAATGACTTTGACTCAGTTTTACCCTCAGTGACGTCTGGAAGGAGTTTCACCAAATAACTGACTCGACGTCACAGGAGGCACCTAAAACTGTGACTTTTAATTTGAACATTTTCTGTGATTAAATGAACATTTACAGCTGAACAAAATGCTGAACATTTGATCATTTATTACAATATCTTAGACAATATTTAGGTTTTTTTGTTTCTAGTTTAGTCATGAATATTTTGTATATAGAATCAGAGAATCTATAATCAGTCCTACATTGCCCCCTTGTGAAAAAATATGGATGTGCAAATACAAAGTAAACATCTATAACAACACTTCTGTCTGCTTCACTGAACTCACTTTTTAGTTTTTGTTTGCTTCAGTGAATCTAAAGAATGATCACTTTTACCTGAACAAATGTGTGTTTTCCTCTCAGCTGGAGGAAACTGAAGCTAAAATGAATGACTCCAGTACATCCAGCTACAGTTCATCAACTACAAGCATCAACTATGAAACAGGAAGCCTCAGCAGTTCCTCCTCTACGTCCAATCAGGTAACATGACTGTGAGCTGATGAACATGAACATTGTGTGTTT